TACAAATTCCTAGGCCTAAATTTGTAGAAAACCCACACAATCGTTTTTAATGGTGATCTAAAAGTAAGCATCTGAATTTTGTTTACTTAACCCCTTATTGTTTATTCTGCAGTGCTACTGAAATTCTCCTAGTAATTGGCTGTAACTTTCAGGAAGTGGTGGAGTACTGTTCCTTTTTCACTGCTCGTCATTCTCGTAATGTAGTCGAATATGACTTTATAAACACTTCGCTGTTTCCTTTTGCGTTCATTTCCTTGTACTTGTCTGGTATTATTCCCGTATTACCTATTCATTTCATCTGACTTACCAGGATTTATCCTGAATCGAGTAAAAGACGTTAATGAGATCGTACTACTATGTACTGCCAAGAAACAAAAGTATACTAATTTCCCATAGCCTCATGAGGCACTGAATGAGTACGCGGGCTGCACAACGACGTGTGATGACCGGAAGGATAGTGGCTTGGTTAGTCTAGCGACCATCGATCCTGGATTTAAACTCTGGACCATCCGTGTGTGGAAGCGCTCGTGTCACTTGACACTACACCACCAGCACCTGTTCTTACTTCTTACCATTAGTCATGCATATGTAAACGGAAATTCGTCAGTTACGAGGTGCTCAACCAACAGGCTTAGACTTAGGTCCTTTTGAAAGATTTCGTGGGAATTATACGTAAACGACTCTCTTCATTACCTAATATTTAATCCTATAATAACCGAACTGCCTACCCATATTCGACACATACTTCCTCACGAGCTCATGCGGACAACTCGCTATTGAACATAATCGAAACTTCAGTAAAGGATTTGACCTTGGAGCAAATTCTGAACGGTTCTGTGTACACCTCGTTCCAACGCTTCCCAGAGTGAGACAAAGAAGTCGAAGATAATCCTCAATCCAACCCTACAACTGCAACACCATGAAAGCTCCTGACATTTTATGAGCATCAAAAGCGTAGTCTTCTTTCAAACCATTCCATAAAAATGGAAATTTCACGGCACTTCAGAAAAAACTCGGATTTTTGTGGAGTTTTTGATAGATTCTTTCCAAACACCTCAACAAAATCCTCTTTTCAAATTTTTATCACTGCTTCAACCCACAATCGGGACTCTAAAGAGGAGAATGATCGAATCACTAAACGTAGAGTTCATTCAGAACTCTTTTCGAAACCAGCGTAGACTTCTGCAGATCATGGAACAATCATACTGCACAGCAAATAATGTATACTACATTGCAATCTCATCAGTAATAATAACCGTATCCATAGACATCGTCAGGATGGCTATCATGATGCCTATGGTCATATTCATGATGATTTGCATGTCCATGGTGGGTATCGTGTTCATATGAACCATCATGAGGAGCATGATGGTATCGGCTGTACTCGTCTTCGTGCCCTTTACGATGATAACCGTAGTAGTCACCTTTGTCGTCATCTGAAATGTGTCAATAGCTTGCTATCAAGAGCTATCTACATAAGGTGGAAGACGTCCTCCCTATAGGAAACATGGGCCAGGATGCGTCCTTACGGTCGCCACTTAACCCCAGTCGAGTCATCGTGAAGGTTTCGACACCCTTTCCCCTGAAGCCGAATGGCTTTGAGATTTCAATGGCAATTGATTTCATATTTAGGGGCGAAGATTCTGGTTCCAGTTTCCTTCCCATATTAAGTCGCTCCATTTGGGTCATCCCCTCGAGCTAAGGAGGAACTCAACTCGTAAGCACCCATTTTATGACTTTTCTAGGTTCTTTTACATCTTCCTTTACTAATCCGCTTATTACCTATTGTTTCCATTCCGAATTCCACCCAGGAAGGCGATCCACCTCGAAATGTGCCTTCGGCGTATCAGGGCAGATATTGGAAGGATAGTACACATGGGACATCTACAAGGAAAGCGCTAATCGGGTCTGGGCGATGAATAGAAACTTACCGTAACCGGATTCATGTCCATTCTTGGAGTGCCCATGGCTGCCTTCATGTTCTTTGTAGCCACCATGATGAGAGCCATGAGCCCCATGGCTCTTCTGATACTTGTCGTGTCCTTTACTGTAGTAACCCCCATTGGAACGTTCCTGATTTCCTGCTGAATGAGTATCGGAATCGTATTTTCTCGCATGTTTTTCATCGGTGTGGAATTTTTCGACGTGATATTGAGGTTGTACATACTGGTAGTCGAAATAACCATATGATTTTGTTTTTGTATCTGAAAAAACACGCGATCATGATGGCTATGCAAAATGTAAACAGATGGTTGTTG